GTTGTGTTTTTTTTGGTTGTTGTGGTGTGTTTACGCTCCGCAGGCCCAGCTAGGATCTGAGTAATTAGTGTATTGGCTTGAAATGAAGAAAACATTGGGATGTTTACACTGCAGCTGGGATTGAGCCTCCCAGTCTGGAGAGACAACTTCATTCTACTTTGGCTCAAGATAGTACACTAAAAATAGCAGTGTGGATGTTGTGGCTCCAGGTGAGACTTCGGTTAGCCTGGGTTAAAAGTTCTGGCAGGTTGAGCAGAAGTACTGGAGTTTATGCTGCCTGGACCAGCAGGTTGAACCACCAAAATTGATAGGCCCATTCTAGCCCGGTGAGTAGTAGCATCTGTATTCCGTCTTGTCTGATCTTCCTCAGCATTTTTGGATGAGAGAAATAAAAGGTCCAAGAGGAATCCATCTATTGGAGACCAGGATTATTTAGAGCAGGATTAGTTGCACTTGATATTGTGTTCTTTGGCAACCAGGTCTTCTGAAGTGTTCTCCAGATTGGGAGCAGAATGTTGATGAATGACTCTGAGAATTACTCTTACTGTGCACTGTATTTTCAGCTGAGATTTTCCATTAGGATTTTTACTTTTACTGGAAGACAGAGACTTGTGGTTGTGATATGGTGGTAAACATAAATTCCAAAATACCAAGCTCTTACCACATTGATGCCTTGATGGGGGCAGTTTTGCAATTTATGCAGAGTAACACACTTTTGCAAAATGATTGTACATGTACATTTTGCAAAATGTGCTGTGCATATTTGCATAATGTTGTGATTGTCTTCACATTTACTGGAATCAAATCTGGTCTTTGTGGTTTGCTTGTTATCTGTCTTTATATCTTGATTGTATTCTCCATCATTGGTTGTAATCTCAGTCATTGGAGATTTTAAAGAGCAGGTTAGACAAACACTTGTCAGGAATGGTCTAGATAATACTTGGTCCTTCCATGAGTGCAGGGGACTGGACTAGATGACCTCTCAAGATCCCTTCCAGTCCTATGATTCTATTTTTAATTAGGTGTGATCAGTTCTTTCATTGCTTGCTAGCACTTTCATTTGTAAGGCATAGTTTTTGCTAATTCTGCAAATATCTTATGTTTGCAAAGTCAAATCCGTTTCTCTCAATAACCTTGCTTTGACTTGGTTATTGGTTACATTGAAAATAATGTAGTCTTTAATTAGTGCATCTGTTAACTGTTCAAATTCATATGGACTGATGTGCTCAGTGAAAAGTATATACATTTGTTTCATCTTGGTATCTCTTAATATATTTCCAGAAGCAATTTATGGTGCCATAGTAATATCCTGTGGTGTTATGGCACCATGAATGGCTCCCTGAAGCCTTTCAAAGAACCATGTGGAAAATATAAGCACTAATACAACAAACACAAATACCTCCACTATAAATACTGGACTTCTGAAACATTCTTATTTTTTTTATATTTGAATAACTGTAGATTATATTGTAATTTAAATAGTTTGTAGTTTTGTTGAAAACTTTGATTTAAAAATATTTTTGTAAAGCTAATTTTGCAAATAATATGTAGATAATCTCTATATTTTTAAAATTTGCATTGGTGTTAGGTTTTAAGGAATTTTGACATTTTATATTCTGAGTATTGTTAAAACTGTCTACCTCAGGTACTTCAAGTACCTGAAGAAGAACTCTGTGTAACCTCCAAAAGCTTGTCTCTCTCACCAACAGAAGTTGGTCCAATAAAATATATTACCTCACTCACCTTGTCTCTCATGTACTTAAAGCAGTCTTTTTTGGAACTTGTTGAATCTGCTGTCCAGTTCAAAAGAATCTACGAAGAGAATTCACAATATTATTGTGCATTGATAGGGATTGGATGATTCAGGGGGATTTGCACTGAGATACAGAACCTTTCACCTGTAGGTAGTCAGTTCAATTTAGATCAGAGTGGTAAACCACAAAGACCAGATTTACAGTCATCAGCTACACTACAAGTTGTGATGACATGGACTCGGGGTTGCCAGTGAAGATTAAAATTCATTATGTTCTACGCCAAAAACCACATGACCCTATAACTTACAAAATGAGACTTTGATTTTTCAAACAGATGAACTGATGCAGACCCTCAGGCCTGCACTGAGTCCTAATAAAGTCAGAAAATATTAACCAAAGGGATTCTGTGTGGGACTAAGAGTCAGCACTGATACATCTGTTTGCAGGATCAGGGTCTAAATAAGACATCTTATGTTGCATTAGTATTCAGGTTCATGTCCTTTGTATGCTAACCACTAATGGAAGACATGATCACAAACATGTGAGTAGGTCTGAAAGTCCAGCTAAGAGAGTTCAGTGGTACACATAAAAGCTATCCCATTTCAGTACATTACAAACTATGTTGTAAACAAGTTCTTGGTTCCCAGCAAAAAGTTGCCATTATCTGAAAGTTGCCAATAAGCGAAAGGCCCCCATTTTCAAATGGATGTATACATGTACTGGTATGGAACAATGATGTACTATAGTCGTATTTTTGTATTGTATTATTGTTCGATACAATGTTAAAAATAAACAGGAAACATGAAAAAGCCACACATACAAAATTGTTTCCTTTAATATTATAATGTTTCTCTGTGTAGCTTCTGAAGTAAAATGGTAAGTTAAGTAAATGAAGTAAAACAGTCAGACTGAATCCTCCCTCCATACCAACTGTTTCTGTGACAGGCACAGGTAAATTAAAAAAGAAATTTTGGTATACTTACAGTCAATGCTTCAGGTGTGTCACACACAATAAAATGTCACACAGTTTTAAGACCACAATTTGTCCAGTGTCATCACTGTTCTTTAGAATCTACGAAACAACAAATTTAAAGACACCACACTTCTCGGCTACTCACACTAGCTTCTCCTGGACTCTCATAGGGCCTTTAGAACCTGAGCTTTACTGGCGAGAAAGGTCCACATGTTTGAAGTCGTGACACAAAGCCGAAGTGCACAACTGTGCAGCACTGTGAAGTGTGTTATGAATGTTGGCTAAAGCATGTACAGCAGTAATGTGTGTGCACTGTAGGTAGGGGTGACCAGATGTTCCATTTTTAAACGGACAGTCCCATCTTTTGGGACTTTCTCTTATATAGGCACCTATTACCCTCACCCTGTCCCATTTTTTCACAGTTGCTATCTGGTCACTCTAACTGTAGGTCCGGGAGACACACAAACAGTCACGTACTGTCTCGCATTTGGAGCCAGCAGATTCATTACAAGTGGAACCTCTTCTAATAAAGCTGTCGATAAGTGGCATGAGAGTTGCTCATATATGAATTCTGTTAATACTAAAGTCAATGGGACATGATTGGTTCTTGGAAAAATGTTGCTAATAACTGAAAGTTGTCTTTATCAGGATTGCTAATAACTGGCACCAACTGTGTGGTCTTTTACAATGTGTTATACGCTGCCCATGTTGTATCTATTCAATAAATGGAGGAGTTCTGTCTTTAGGGCTGTCATAAGTAGTGTATTCATTTAGAATAGGTTTAAAATAGCAAGAAATGGATTGTCATGGATAGTAAATTTTTTTAGTTTAAAATTTAAAATACTCATATTAGGGTAACTGTATTTTATTTTTTAGCAGATATGGTGAGTCTCCAAAAAGGCCCAGAAAGAAAAAGGCAAGAGTAAGTGGAAAAAATAAAATTAATAATTTTTGTACTTTTGCTGAAATATATTTTAGTGTTGTTGTTTTGTACAATCAACACTGTAGAAGTAGTAAAATATTTTAATGTTAACAGTTAGATAAAAATAACTCATTACATAATGGCGAATGGGAAATCTGCTTTAATTTATATTTCAACTCAGATGGTCTTAATTTTAGGCTTTTGCCACATCAAGTAGATAAAATGCAAATATGAAAAACATATTGATACATTTTAAAACTGGGCAATCTTTTAAAAATTTTTTCATTCTAATCCAATTGAAGAAAATTGTTACTAAATCCCTATTTTGGCTGCCCTCCCCATCTTGGCTTTACTTGTTTTTGTAAATCCTAGTGGAAAATTCAGTAGTTTCATTATTTAAATTTAGAGAAATGAGATATTTTATGAGGAGAGTCTTCATGCTATGGAATAGGGTTAAAAAAAACTCCAAATGAACCAAAAATGTATTGCTTCCTTTATCCATAGCACTGTCAATTGTCTGTTTAGATTGTGAGCACTTAGGAGCAGTGACCATTTCTATCTAGGAGCTAGATTGTAACACAGTCTCACTCCTACTGATAAACAGGGACTACTTGTGTGAGTATCTGCTCATTAGTGGACTTTTATTTGTATTGCAACAAAACTAATTAGTGTAAGGTCCTATTGTGCTCCAGCAGGCACAATAGGACCGGATACTAATCTTTGTCAGGAGATTCTGGGTTTGTTACCAGCACCCCACAAGAAGGACCTGAACATGGTGTCAATTTTGGTAAAATAAAATAGGAATGTGGATAGGGAGGCAATTCAGAATAAAAAGGATTCTGGGAAGGGCATTCATTTTGATTATTTTTTCCCCAAAGGGAGAGAGGTAGTACCTGCCATCTATTTAAATCATGATTAATAGGGGCTTGACTATGTTTTTAATTTAATTAGGGAACAGGATGTCCAAATATCTGAGGTGCATCTGTTGCCATCTAAATATCCCGATAGGAGAGCTACTGCCAGCTAAATCCAATAAGATCTTCATTGTTTCTGACTTATCCCAATTTATCTTGTAGCCAGCTAATTTACCAAAATTATCTATTGTTTGTACAATATTTGGACTAGCTTGATCTGGATTTTTAATTAATAGGAGGATGTCATCTACATATAGAATGATTTTTGTCTCCTGAGACCCTGATTTGATCCCTTGAATCCCTTGGTTCCCTAATTAGTTCTGCATGTGGTTCTAATGTTAGATTGAACATGGGGGGGGGGGGGGAGGGGGCATCCCTGTTTAGTTTCCTGAATCATATCAAAGAGGGGGGCTTTTGTGCTATTTGTTAGAATATGAGAGTTGGGATTGGAATATAACAGTTTGATCCATGAAATAAAGGATTTCCCCAAAAGAATTTATCCAGGGTAAGAAACAGATATGTCCAGTTCACTCTGTCAAAGGCTTTCTATGTATCAAGTGAAATGATTGCATGGGAATTTCAGGAGTCTTGATGGAATGCCATAACATTAATCAACAGATATGTGTTGTCTGCATTATGTCTTTTTAATAAAACACAGCTGATCGGGGTGAACCAAATCACTCATTATTTTTTCAAACATCTTAGCCAATATTTTTGAGAGTATTTTCATACCAGTATTGATTAAAGAGATGAGTCTATAACTGTAATACATTTGTGTAGGTTTACGTAGTACAGTAATTAGGGCTTCCCTCATAGTAAGAGGTAATGTACCTTTCTTTAAGGCATCTTTGTAAATGTTTAACATCTTAGGTGCCAGAATATTTTTGAAACTTCAATAGAATTCTATCAGAAGGCCATTAGGGCTGGTGGTCTTGCCCCGACTTTTAATAAGGTGTATATATAGTGTAAGAGATCTTAGCCTTCACCAGCAAAAATCTACCTTCCTCATCTTTATTTACTCCTAATATTTGTAATTTGAGTCTTTCTATGAAATGAAATTGCTACACTTTTGGCAGTGGACGAGAAATTGTTAAACATCCTTTCCCCCAGCCCCTCCTCCTAAATTTTCTGCCTCCAAATCATTAAGGTGGGTTTCCTTTAGGAAGATATCTTTTATTTGAATAATTAGTGGAAAGGAGGAGGTTAGGTATCAATTATAAAGGCTGAGCCTTTATAGTGAAGGAATGAGAAATGCCCTGCTGTGAAAGGTGTACGGTTGTAAAAATATGGATCAAGTTAAAAAGATCATAGTAAATTAGGGTAGACATACTACAGTTTGATTATCAATAGTGCAGGAAATTAATGGTGCCAGGGGATGCATTGTAGCTATTTTTATAATGTAGGAAACAAATAGAATGTACATAAGCCTGTGGTATTTTTTCAGTTTAATAATAGAATTATTGTCATCCAGCTATAGTGAATTGGAAGAAGACTTGAAAGAGTAGCAGAAATGTGACCTTACAACAGTGTTAGTGATTACAGACAACATAGGGTATCATAGATGAGTGCAATGTGTTAACGTGTAGCCTGATTGCTTATTTGATTCAGATGGATGAATATCTGAAGTTCTAGATTGAAACCAACCTTTCAACATTCATGTGCTGTACAGTTGACTTGTTAATATGAAAATTTCTAACATAATGAAAAAAGATGTGGACGATAGGGTATATTCTGTGTTATTACACATGCAATAAGGATTAACCATGTCTAATGTGTAAGGGTGTAATCACTATTCCAGCTGCTAGAAAGAAAGATTTAGTAAGATTGTAACTACTAAAAGCATAAATTAAATGTAATAAAGCTTGTTAATATAAGACTTCTGTATTAAAAACAACTAGTTCATTCACAAAAATTGCTGAAGAGAAAAATTATGTAACCTGTGAAAAATTCAGGTAAGGGTAAGATTTAATTTTTTTTGCAATTTTTTGTGTACATAGCAGGGGCACTGCAGTTTAATAAATTAAGCCTAAAATATAAATAAAGTTCAGTGAAGGACACATGCTTCTTACTTGACATTTTAGGTTAGTAATTTCAGGGACAAGGCAGTATCTTACGATAAATGTGAAACATTCCCATCATCAATCAGCATCATAAAGAAGCAACACAAGAGTTCAAATGTTAGCAAATCTTCCATTTTAATACATGTTCAGATTAGATGTGTGTTCGATGATGGAAAACACAGACTCCTCTGCTCTGATGAAACAGCAAAATGTCTTTTGCATGCGCCTTCAGCCATTTTGTGTATGGAGATGGATTGACTTCAGAACAGGCTGCTACTGTTCTTTGTTTAGGTGGCTATATAGTTCATCCAGGACTGTCTTGGGAAACTATTTTTTTAGTATCTAGTATTCTAATCTATTACAATAATCCTGAAATGTAACTAGGTTTCTTGAAATAAGTGGTGTTAATTATAATAAGTATAGTATTTGTAATAGAATGTTGCATGTTTAGTGCTTTCTTTCCTTTTCTGTAATTGTAACTTCTGAATACGGATAGGTTAAATGGGGTTTATTTTTAAGTGAATTAAGAACACCTAAAAGATGCCAGAGCAAAAGCTGAATGACTGGGGATGGGTCACTTGATAAATTGCCCTGTCCTGTTCACTCCCTCTGAAGCATTTGGGACCAGCCCCTGGCGGAAGGCAGAACACTAGACTAGATGGACCCTTAATCTGACCCAGTATGGCCATTCTTATGTTCTTATTTAAAGCAATGGAAACTGAAGTCCTCTATGTATAAAATAAGCACAGTGTGGATAATTACAATGAAATCTTCCATGTACTGCCTCTATTAGTTTAATTCTACCCAACTGAGAAACTACATCTAGAAATGAGAAAGTAGTTCAAATCCCATGCTGATTTATGTCTTGGATTATGGTTGTTAGCTAGGGTGACAATTGGCATCAACTATGATACTTCACTAGGAACTATACTGAGACTACTTGCTAATTTCAGATAGGCCACGGAACAGACATCAGATATTAACAACATTCAGTCATTTCCAAATCAGTATGGACTGAGAGTGTAAGCAAGAAGTGAAAGATTCTGTATTCTAACTATTTTTATGGATTGTTATGGCAATATAGGTTAAACCTAAAAGACACATGTACTGTATATAAATCTCCTATAAGTGTCCTGTTCTGCAGTCACTTACTACTGGGCACAGTGCTTACTATTGTGAGTTGTCTCCCTGACATCATTACAGGGACAGGTCTGTTTGTAGAAGGAGTTCAGTGGAAGCTTGCCTGTTTACAGTAGAGCTGAACTTGACCACTTATGTGATTTTTGACATCGTATCTGTAACTAAGTTAAAAGTAAATGTATCCTTAGGAATTTAGACTATAAAAATTAAAAATATATTCTAAAATAAAATATTTGACTTTCAATTTCTTTTCAGTTCTCCATGCACATTGCCCTAGCCCAATTATCCATTAGCCGAATATAATAATCTGTACATTATTTGATCTGAAATTAAATGAGCAAATGTACCTTGCACAACGTCGTTAGTCGACACTATCTTTAGATGACATGTTGTTGCCCCATCTTGCAGCACTTACTAATGTGAGTAGTTCCAGTGACTTGAAATGACTGATGGTTGTCATTTCACAAGTATTATTTGTTAGACAACCTCTTAAGTGATGCTGATCTATACAGTAACAATGGTCAATGTAACAGCAGCACTGATGATTCTAGCAGTAAAAGAACTATGTATTTATAATTTAGATTGGGTAGATATTATAAAATCTGCATGTGGATAGTATTTGGATTCATAGTAGCAGAAGTAGCCAACATTCTCTATTGACATTTCTCTTTTATATTATGTTTGAGAAAGATACTTGTTGCACTACTCTATGGGCTGAAGTGTTGCAACTTTGAAATATAGATGCAACACCCCCCCCACATCCACACACCCCTATAATACATTGCAATGACAAGTTTCTGTTGGAAGCTGATCTAGTGAGATGAAAATTCCTGATGCAATAATAGAGAATATTTGAACCACCAAACTGAAGAGAACTTTTTAAGGT